ATCCTCAGGACAAGAAGGACCTGGAGGGGCTGGAGCGTGTCCAGGGAAGGGCCCCGGAGCTGGGGAAGGGGCTGGAGCAGCAGGAGAAGGGGCTGGAGAACTTGTGAGGAGCAGCTGAGGGAGCTGGGGGTGTTGAGCCTGGAGCAAAGGAGGCTGAGGGGAGACCTTCTGGCTCTGCAGCTGCCTGAGAGGAGGTTGGAGCCAGGGGGGTCGGGCTCTGCTCCCCAGGAACAAGCGACAGGACAAGAGGGAACGGCCTCAAGTTGTGCCAGGGGAGGTTGAGGTTGGATCTGGGGAACAATTCCTGCCTGGCAAGGGTTGTCAGGGCCTCAGACTCTTTTGTCCCTTCAGGGACATCCCCAATGACTCCAGCACCACAGGCCCATTAGTGACAAGTCTCTTCTTGTGTTTATCAGCAAACAGGCTGGATTTTCCTTTCCACTGAGCTCTGGTATCTGCACCTTTGCTGTATTCATGCAACTTCCACCTCCTACACTAAAACCCAGTGAAGATTTTCTTTGGCTTCTGCTTTGATTTCTTCCCAGGCCTGTTTATTTCTGGCATCTTGCAACTTCCTAAGAAACCCACTTTCAGTTGCAGTTGTGTTGACTAAATGTTTAAACAAGAACCAGGGTTGTTAAAACAAGCAACAAAAGCCTCTATCAAACCCCAGAATTTGTTTTCCTGGTGTTTTCACAGGGGTTTAGAACCACACACCCCCACAGGCAGCAACGAGGTCCACTCAGGAAATGACTCAAAGATGACAAGAATGTGACCAAGTGCAGATCAGCAGTTCCAGTGGTGAGTAAGGGATTTATTTTCTTCTTTTGTTTTTTTCCAAGTTTCTTTATTTCCCCATTAAAAAAAAAAAAAAACCCACAAAAAATAATCATGACTGAGGTAGTTAGAAATTAACTTACCCCCTCCTTGGAAACCTGAGCAGCTCTGATGACTGAGTTTAAACATTGATTATTTACTCTTTCATAGAATCAAATCTGCTGAGTGGGAAGGGGCCCATCAGGACCATCAACTCCTGTCCCTGTGTAGGGCACCCCAAGAATCACCCCACGTGCCTGAGAGCATCATCCAAACTCTTCTGGAACTCAGGCAGGCTTGGTGCTGGGACCACTGCCCTGGGGAGCCTGTCCCAGTGCTCAGCCACCCTCTGGGTGAAAAACCTTCCCCTGACATCCAACCTAAACTCCCCCTGATTCAGCTTCCTGCCAATTTCCCTCAGTCCTGTCACTGGTCACAGGAGGGAAGAGATGAGGACCTGCCCCATCTCCTCCCCTCTGCAGGAACCACAGACTGCAATGAGGTCACCCCTCAGCTTCCTCTTCTCCAAGCCTAATCTTTACCAATGCCAAGAGCAGAGCCAGGAGATACAACCTCTTGCTGTGAACAGAATGTTGGTTTGATCAGGGCAAAATGTGAGGCTGGGGATTTGAGCCCCATCCCTGCCAGTCTTGAAGGGCAGGTTGGATGGGGCTTGGAGCAGCCTGGAATGGTGGGAGGTGTCCCTGTTACCCCCAGTACCCCTCCCTGCACACACCAGTACTCCCAGTACCCCTCTCTGCACACACCAGTACCCCCAGTTCCCCTCCCTGCACACACCAGTACTCCCAGTACCCCTCTCTGCACACACCAGTACCCCCAGTTCCCCTCCCTGCACACACCAGTACTCCCAGTACCCCTCTCTGCACACACCAGTACCCCCAGTTCCCCTCCTTGCACATACCAGAACCCCCAGTACCCCTCCCTGCACACACCAGTACCCCCAGTACCCTCCCTGCACACACCAGTACCCCCAGTACCCCTCTCCGCACACACCAGTACCCCCAGTTCCCCTCCCTGCACACACCAGTATCCCCAGCTCCCCTCCCTGCACACACCAGTACCCCCAGTTCCCCTCCCTGCACACACCAGTATCCCCAGTACCCCTCCCTGCACACACCAGTAAGCCCAGTACCCCCTCCCTGCACACACTAGTAAGCCCAGTACCCCTCCCCGCACACACCAGTACCCCCAGTACCCCCTCCCCGCACACACCAGTACGCCCAGTTCCCCCTCCCCGCACACATCA